CAAATATTATATAAATCTTTTTAGCCCCACTTCTGCTTTTTGTATAATAATTATATACCCACACCATTTATTAATTCCTTTAGAGGGAATTATTTCAAGCAACTTTTGCTTTTTTCATTGCATAATGTCAAAGCCAATGTGATTAAAGAGAAGAAAAGTCAAACGAGAGAGACTTTAAAATGATTAATTTGCACTAAGAAATGACAAGAATGAGTGAGATTATAATCAGAAATAATAATTTTTTTTCGAGAAAAAAAAGGAAGAGACAAGTTAGAGTTGGACCATCATTTTCAACCAGTCGTTTAGCACATAATTTATTTCGAAATAATGTACTAACAATCATAGAACAAAATTAAAATTAAAATTAAAAATAAATTATTTATACATGCTAGAAAACAAATTAGGTAAATGGAAAAACCTCTCACATGCCAGATCACGTGCCTGACAGGGTGGGTCAGCGGCCACGTGCTGCCACACGTGTAAAGCGTGGGTATTCAAAAACAAACAATAGGAAAACATAATAAATAAAAAAGTTTATGATGATTCGTGAGCTCTTTCTTTGCCCCAAAATAAATAATTTTGAGCTCTTTCACGTGCGACCACCCAATCACATGGCAACTTCTAGGACTTCTTTTTGTTCCAATGGCAACTGGGAATATGGGAGCAACTTTATGTTTGGACTGGACTGGATTTATCGAGGGTAAGGTAAAAATTTATCAACAGAAAAGGTAAGAATGGGGGAACATTTTGTGTGAGAATTCGACGTATGCGAAAATTTGTAACTGTGCCAAGTTTTATTTTGTCCTTTAATTCTCGCACGTCATTCGATTTAGTATTTTCATCAAATTCTGTCAATTAAAAGTGTAAAATTGTCAATTTAAACACAATTATTCTTTGAAAATAAACGAAAAGATGTTATAAAATGGCTAAATTATAATACATGCGATTGGATTGAATAGCTAAAATGACTAAAAAAATGAGATTGACGACCGAAACGAAACTCAGTATAAGTTGAGCGATCATTGCGAATAAATTCCCTAATTCAAATGTTCAATGAAATGGTAGTTTAGGGATCCTCCATATAAAAACAAAGAAGTCAAATTCAAGTTCAAATCAGGTTAAGCCAACAAAAAAGGAAAAAATATCAAATTGATGTAGTTTTTGAGAAATTACAAAAAATATATAAAAGAGACTTTAAGGAGGCGGTTGTGGGCCCGAATTTGCGCGACCGTCCGTAGGAGTTCTATACGAACAGAATTCTTTCTCATTGGGCTTTCTAGGTGTGAAAGGGACTTAAAGATAATGGACCATATTGTCCCTAGTGAGGTGGACCCAACCGAAGGCCCACTACCAGCCATTTGTCCCCCTTCTCACAAAAAGCGAAAACTGCCTCTGGATGCCGACCTTTAACAACTTCTCTCTTCCTTGTTTTTAATGTTTTTTTCTTTTTTTGTAATTTCTGCCCAATGAAATGATAACCTGGGGCCCACACCGTAATTATGACTCCCTCTTTTTTATTTTTAAAACTAAACTCGGTTTCATATTTTACCATTTTTATGACGTCGCCTACACGTCAACTATGACATCATATATGTCCTCTCTTTTTTTTTTTCTTTCTTTATATTTTATACGGAAGACATTTGGGTTCGGTTGACATATGTTGACTCTGGTCAACACAATTGTCTTGTGGACAAGTGCTGCGGTCAACACATAATTATGGATTTTGGATAGTAATTTATGTGGTTAATCATTAATGCTCCTAAAAAGTAGGTAGAAGCTAAGCACTAGCATGTCCATAAAAATATGGGTAATGTTAGGCATATCACATGGTATATCACCTTTCTAATAGAGGTGGTGCCCACCAATATAATAGGGCCCCATTTTATTAGAAATGTGGTATATAATGTAATATAAAAATATAATATACCTAGGATTTTCTTAAAAATATTTTAGTGTATGAATGTGTTTGGTGCGTTATATTTAGCAAACATCTTAATTTGTAAGCATCTATTTGTTCCAACAACAAAAAATATATATTTTTTCCCTTTTTCTTTTCTTCTACTCTTCATTCATTCTATTTCTCAAGATTTTAGAGATTAAGGGCATGTGTGACTAGGACAGGATTGAGCTATTTAGCACTAATCATGTCTTCAATCAAACATTGGCTTATTTTAGCAACTTGATTAATTTAGATTAGAAGCTCAGTAAGTGGGCTTATATTAGACCATTTAAAATCATGGGCTTAACTAACACCAGCCCAAAATAAGAACAAATTGAGAAGACGACGCGAGCTAAATAAAAAACACACGCAAACTTCGCCTCTAATCAAAAGAAAAGGTTATCAATCAAGTTCGCTTAACCCAACATCTCAACATGTCCAATGGGCCTCTATCATGTAATATGGGCCGGGTTATAAATCTGACCCGGATATCCACCTACCTGTCTTGACTTTCAGGGGTCGTTTGGTACGGCGGACTATTATGGACTGGATTAAATCATGTGACTGTCTTGGATTGGCCTAAGCTGGATTAAGTACTGACCTACGTTTGGTTCTGCGTCAGACTAAGAAGTTGGATTGTAAAAATAATGAAAACCTATGTTTGGTGTTGTGTGGTCGGACTAAAAAATAGTTATTGTAATATTTAAATTTAAAACAATAATTAAAAAAACAACAAAAATTCTGAATTTTTTTAAACAAAAAAACCCATCAGATCCATACCCAACTCAACCTCCCCATTTTTTTTTTATCTTTTTGTTTTTTGTTTTTGTTTAAGATAATTAGGTTCATTGCATTGGAAATAGGACGGGGAGAAAAAACAGAGGTTTTGCCTCCTATGGATCAAATCATCAATGCAGTGATACCTGCTGCGATCGCCCTCCCCCATTGAAGCCATCTTCTCTTGCTCCCTGGGATTAATAGATTCATTCTTGCTTCTTCACCTTCGGTGCCTTTGCAAACCAACCCCAATTTGCTCTCTCTCTCTCTCTCTCTCCCATCGCAACTCCACATCCCCTTTTGACACTTTTTTTTACCAAAAAAAAAATTCAATCGGGAAAGCTTCAAACAGAGGCTTCAGCAAAGGTGTTCTCCCAGGCACGTAGCACATCCTCTTCGATCTTGACAAGCTAGTGATTTGGGTTTGTTTGGTTGCAGAAATTAGGTAACCCCATGAGGAATCGGAGCAGATAGAAAGGGCTCTCTGGGTCAACTGATTGGGTATTGTTGTTGGTGTCGATACGGTTGGTGGTGGTGACAGTGAGGTTGGGCGATGACAATGCGAAGGTTTAGTTCTGCGATGGTTTGGTTCGGACTCGCGAGTTCAATATAGCGTGGGTGTTATATTGCGAGCTGCTTTTCAAGCGAGCTAAATTAGAGGAGCGAGTGAGGGGCATTTTTCACCGTTGGACTATATAATCTCATTTAAGTTTAGTCCCCTCTCTTAATAGCACTTCCACCAGTTAGCCCCTTGCCATGGCAAGGGAAGCCCTAGGGCAGCTACTATTTACGTGAATAGTGGCTGCCCTAGCACAAAAAAAAAGGTGTGTTTCCAGCAGTGCAAGGCTTGCCATGGCAAATACTATTCATTTTTTTTGTTTTTTTTCACAACTTTGTTTACTTAAACATTTGATTTGGATAATATTTTTAGATAAGATTTTTGGGTTCTTATGTGTCAATACTATTCATATCGGATAAGATTTTTTGTTTCAAATTTCATATAAATTTCAAAATTCAAAATTCAGATAAATCAATACAACTAATAAAATAAAATACATGAATGACCACTAATTATTAAAACAAAACAAAAAAACACAATGAAATGAAAGGCAAGCAAACTAAGAAATGAAAGGCAAGATTTTATTTTATCAGATAATATTTTTGGATAAGATTTTATTTTATTAGTTGTATTGGTTGGTATTTATAGAAAAAAAAAGTATGAGGATTTGGTGTTAAAAGTGAAGAGTATTGGTTGATATTTATAGACACTGGCGAACTCGGAATTTTTTTAGCGGAGGTGCAATATTGACTAAGTATGAAAAATGGTTTTTCGGAATAATCATTTTCTCAAGATAATTTTTGGCGGCTTTTATTCCTTATACATCAAATAAGAAAACTTGATTTTATGGGATTTTAATATGAAGTATATATTGACTTAATGAGCCACCATTTTTAGCATAAATCGTATTTTTCACTAAAACCGATTTTTCATATTTTGATTTGGTGGGAATTTGATTTTCTAGTATTTTTATTTGAATCCAAATGGGGGGTACTTCCTTATTTACATTGTAAACTTAAGTAAATTGAGTAATATAAAAATAAATAAAAGTAAAAGGACAAAGATATTTACTTAAATGTTGAAAATGGAAATAAAGTATAGAGAGAAGAAAAAAAAGTAATTTTTTGGTAATTTTTTCAAATTTTTCGGATTTTTTTTCAATTTTTTATTACAAAAATATTGGCTGCCGTTGGATTGGAGCAAAAATTATGATCGGAGAACCCAGAACACGACACATGGCACATAATTGCTAGCGGATACTGTAGCGCTGACGTCACGACGACGTCAGCAAGGGCCAGCCCTGGCTGGAGCTCGGGCCAGCCTTGCCCTCGGGCCAGCCCGTTTTGTTGGGTCCCACCATCTTGCCCGGGCCTGCCTTCACTGTTGGAAACGGGTTTTTACCCCAAACCCCACTGTTGGAAATGCTCTAACAAACATGAGTTTCAAGTACTATTTAAGCTAGTCCAATCCAGTGGGTCCTACCAAACACACCCTCATTTCGTTCATAATTCTCAACAATCTGACTCACGTGAGATGCACATGCCATTTTTGCAGCGGCGACGAAAATCAAGTTGCAGACCACATCCCCGCCGCACCAGTTCTGCCCATCCACACGCCCGCTACCCCGTCGAAGCCTCCTCGACGGCGTAGCCTGAGGATCAAATTCTTCAGGCACACTTACAACCTCACTGACTTGATCAGATTCATTTTTTCAATTCAATGAAAATGGCGATTTTTCAAGCCAGGACGTGGTTCTCTAGAACCTTCTCGACCGTTGCTTCTCATCCTCTGCGCGTCTGTGTTGTCGGAAGTGGACCTGCTGGCTTCTACACTGCTGAGAAGGTAAACTCTTTCTATTTGTGTGTGTTTTTTGTTGTTAAATTAATTTTAATAAAGCATTGAAATTTGATATGATTGGTATGAATTGAGCTGAAATAGATGCTGAAGGCGCATCAGGAAGCACAGGTGGATATCATTGATCGTTTGCCAACGCCTTTCGGGTTAGTCCGCTCCGGCGTCGCACCTGATCATCCTGAAACCAAGGTGACCATATTATTCTTAGTCTCAGTTCTTTCTTTTTTCGTAAAATAGTTCAAGAAAATTGAAGTTGGTGAACTCACACATTATCAAAATCGAGTTTACTTCCTCTTATAAAGAGCATCCTGCGAATTTTATCAGTTTATTTTGTTGAATTCTCTTGGTGTGGCGAGGAATAAATTTCTTATTTGAGCTTATTCTATTAGAAAACTTGCAACAGATTGTGGTCAACCAGTTTACGCGGGTTGCACAACATGAACGCTGCACGTTCTTTGGAAATGTAACTCTTGGTTCCTCTGTAACTCTCCCTGAGCTTCGTGAGTTGTACGACGTGGTGGGGTTCTGACTCAATATGTGTAAATAATGCCGGCATTGGCAATGTCATTGTTGGTATGCTTATTTGTTTGACCAACATTATGTGCAAACGCAGGTAGTGCTTGCCTATGGTGCCGAAAGTGATAGAGTTCTTGGTATCCCCGGAGAAGTATGTTTTGCTTGTTTTGGTTTTGTTTCTTTAATATTATGGTGCTCTTTGATCAATTGAATTGGATAGAATTGCAACTAATGTTTTTTATACAATTTGTTTTTGAAATAATTGATTTATACCTCTTTCTAGGATTTGAGTGGCGTATATGCAGCGAGAGAATTTGTTTGGTGGTATAATGGGCACCCAAATTGCAGATACCTAAACCCCGACTTGAAGAGCTCTGATACAGCTGTAATTCTTGGTCAGGTATCTTCATACCTCATCAAGTTAATAAATATTAACCTTCTCTTAAGTTGCTGCCCTAAGGTTGGTTAGTAAATGTACTTCCCAATCCTTGTCACAACACAAAAAATAAAATTAAAAACCTGTTATTACATTGGAGTTTTATCCCTACCAAACAGCTCCTTTTGGTTTCAGGGCAATGTAGCTCTTGATGTTGCACGCATTCTTTTACGACCAACAACAGAGTTGGCTTCAACTGATATTGCGAGCCATGCTTTGGCAGCTCTTGAGGACAGCTCTATAAGGTTTGCTATACCATATTTTGAGAATAACCAGTTACACTATAATTGCTACTTTATCTGGGTTTCATGTTTAATATGTCCATGTCATTTCAGGAAAGTGTATCTGGTCGGGAGGCGGGGACCAGCCCAAGCAGCTTGCACTGCAAAAGAGCTGCGTGAAATTAATGGTGATTCTTAATATCAAATTCATTCTAATTCTAAGTGAAGCATATGATTTATATTTTTCTTTTCTAAAATGTTTTGTTTGGATGCTATGCTGAGAAATAATTACTTTAGGAGTACATTTAAGCCGTTTGACCTTTTTTACAAGAGCCTGCAACTTCTGGGGATTTTAAAGCTCAAATTACACTTATTTTTGTATTGTATGGTGGTGACATTGCCATATGATTGCAATGTTACAGCAGGATAGGACTAGGGGATAATGGGCCTTCTTGATCTTACTTCAAAGGTGTCCTTGGTATTATATAATGTATTTAAAACATTATAGAAAAGCTTATGGTATGATATTTATGAATTACTTATGAATTTCCAATTATTGACCTCCTTGTTTTATGTGAATAGATATTAATTCTGTAACAAGTAGCTTCTAAAAAATATTGTAGTTTCTAATTATCTGCAATCAGATTTTGTTTGTATATTTTGTCATAGGTCATTGGTGTAATGTTGTCATCATATTCTCACTTATAATATTACTCGTCATCTTGTTGGTTTTTTATTTGTGGAATTATATAAAGTTATTGTCTTTGTTTTCAGGTATCAAAGATCTGCAGATTCACATCAAGGAAGCTGATCTACTCACAACCCCAGAAGATGAGGTATCTAAGTTGATCTTATCTCTGTCTCTTTCAAGGTTACTGTTATAGCTAAATATAGAAATTGACGTTTTGAAATATTCTAAGCTGTTATTGGTGGTCTATAAAGTCCCTTTGCTGTTAGTAATTTTCATGAACCTTGTTGCTGTCTTTTGGTAAGGAAGAGATGAAGAACAATCGAATTCGAAAAAGGGTTTATGAGTTGCTCTCAAAGGCAGCCACGACAAGGGCTTCACACCCCAGTTCAGATCCACGTGAATTGCACTTTGTTTTCTTTCAGAAACCAGATAAGTTTCTAGAATCTAACGAGAGAAGTGGCCATGTTTCTGGTGTCAGACTCGAGAAGACAAAACTCATAGGTAATTTATACTCCATATAATTTGTAGTAAAAGTTTTTATGTATTTTCCAATGAAGTGAGGCCATATCACATGTAAACACATCACTGAATGATTGTACCATACATCATCATTAAATGACAAAACTAATGATGGTAAAATGGAAGAGGTCAAACATCAAGTTCCGAATAATTATGGAAGCTGTCAATAACACGAGTAAATGATTCTATTTTTTTGGTCATCCAAGTGACAATGACTAAATTGCTTCTTTCAACTTCACTTTCTAGGTGATAGACCAGGAGAACGAATGGCTGCAGGTACTGGACTGTTTGAAGATCTTGGATGCGGGTACTTTCTTCTGAAATTCAGCCGTTGCTAATTTCATACTAGAGGCATACACATGCAATGTGTGTGCAGTTGCTTGTGATAAAAGTAAGGGTGGGTGAGAGAGAGAGAGAGAGAGATGGTACTGACAACAGTGGCAATATGCTTTCTTTCTTCTACAGGATTGTGCTTAAGAGCATCGGTTACAAATCAATACCAGTTGATGGATTACCCTTCGATCATCGGAAAGGTATGTAGATGCTGTTATATGAAGTGAGGCATATTATTCTATTTGGATCTTAAGCTTCCCTCAAAACTCTATGTTTAAGCATCAAAGTTGATGAGATTGTACAAAATATGGGGAAGATCATTCACTCAGATATGCTAATGCAAACTTCATACTGATTTGGAACTTTAGTTGGTTCAATCTTTAGAAGGCCTCATTCACCTGGTTCCATAGAAGTTTTGATTTGTGACAAAATGTTTCCTATTTCTGGAATATTACTAAATAAGCTCCTTGCCAGAAGTGGTTCTATATCGACCACAAGAGACAAAGCAAGGATTATGATGATGATCTTCTTTGCAGGTGTGGTTCCAAATATTAGAGGGCGAGTTCTAAGTGATACATCCGGAGATCCTATGCTGCTCGAGAAGGGTTTGTATGTATGTGGATGGTTGAAGAGAGGACCAACTGGGATCATTGCTACAAACCTCTATTGTGCAGAAGAAACTGTAAGCGGTCTTTTACATTACTTAGATGGAAAGGTACTGGTTAATAAGGTGTATTCATGTCCATCAGTAGTGGCGCATGAAGCATCTTGGAACCAATAACTATCATAATTAAAACCGATTATCGGATTTGATTAGGGTGATTACCGGCTTTGCTCACTTCACTAATCAACATGGCAGGTTGCAAGTATATCTGAAGACCTTAAGCAAGGAGTATTGGCATCATCATCTAGCTCAGGCAGGGAGGGTCTCCTCCAATTGCTGGATAGTCGAAATGTTAGAGTTATACCATTTGGTGAATGGGAAAAGATAGATTCAGAAGAAAGGAGGCTTGGGAGTTTAAGAAACAAGCCCAGGGAAAAATTAGCCACGTGGGAGGAGCTTCAGAAAGTAGCCACAGAGTAAATATCCATATCAGGGTTTCTCTGTTTTCTTTTCTTTTTGTTTTTTTTGTTTTCTTATACTTTTTTGTTTTTTGGGAGCTAGAGGGATACATTACAATTGAAGGAAAATAAAGAATAGTGAGATCATTTATTTATGAATTTCAGTTATTAAACCTTTTTTGGCTGAACATGAGTATTTCTTGTTGACTCATTTGATGCCCCCTTTCCCCACAAATATTTATAAATAAATGAAAAGCATTTTGCTAGTTTCTGTAACATTTGCCTTGTTCGTTAAAGCGTAGGCCTTCCCATGTTTTTACATGCATATGAAGGTAAAATAGGAAGGATGAATTTATGGTTCATTTTTTTACCGACCGACATGAGATTCAAAGGTTTTCACAAATCTTTAAAACGTGACGAAAGTAAAAAGAAAAGAAGATGTTGCATGCAAACCCAATCATTGGTTTTCAACGACGGTTAAAAAACTCACTCAATTCTAATTGTGTTCAAGAATAAGATTTAGGTTTGATCTCTTGCTTTTGTTCAGAATGTCAATGAGGCAAAGAAAAAGAAACTAAATTCGTTTCACTTGTTACAAAGCATTATGGTGTATGAGGATGCATAAGCCTAAGACTAGTTGACAATTGGTTTTAGGTATATAGGCTCAAAGTCAAAGTCCACCATGTCTTTCCATGCCAAGCACTTTCAAAAGCTGCCATCTTCAAGTGACTAGCGAGGGATGATTAAGTTGTGGAATTTCTCGTGGCCTTCAATGTCACGCTAATATGCTCGTGCTCTGCTGAAAGTCCACAACACTATAGCCTCCACTACAAAGATTGTCAAATTCAGCTGGGCAAATGCTCAAAGAGTTCCCATTTTCAAGGAAAAGTAAGACAATAGTGAATCCCAACACGAATGTGTCACATACTATTCATATTTCTATAATTATACGTTTCGATGCGATCACATTATGAATAGTGTGTAAGATATCTTCTTAAATTGCACCGAAACCTATCAAATGAACCCTAGATTTGAAGTTCTTTTCACACTCTTTAGGGCTTTCGGCCTTTTGAAGCAAAAACAAAAATGCTGAATCTGGAAATATCACCACTTTCCAGTTTACCCTGTTGATTTGCCAAGTGATTTTGATGTAGGATGGCAATTGTGACATTGACAAACCACCAACATAAATTGAATTATTTTGCTGGTACATGAAGTGAGATTCAGGGCTTCTGGCTCTCCCCTGACTCCAATAATTCTTGACATGTATGTATGGGGACCCAAACTTATGGATCCATTATCATCTTTGTTTCAACTTCGAAATATGAGAATCAACATCGTAGAATTTTGATACTGATTATACAAACTTTCATTTCCTTTTTGCTTGGTTTGGTTTGGTTTGGTTTGGTTTTTTGCTGCAGGTAGGCATGTGCCATGTCAGTGTGCTTTAGAGTTCATGCCAATCACATTGCTAGCAGATTCCGGTGTAAGTGGGATTTCTCTCACCAAATGATTTCTGACAGTTAAAAATATGTTTGTCTTCTACTTGTAACTCTTCCTCCACAAATTAGGGTTCTTCCATAAATCTGAATAAAAAAAATTGGTGATGTTCATCAATCAGCTAAGAAGAGAGCTAATTTGGGAAGAAAAAAAGAGGAAAAGGAAAACTAACCTATGTGACTTGTGATTGACTTGAAAGACATAAAACATCATAATTCACATTGAGACTTAATTCAAGGTATAATAATACAAGATTACAAATAGCTTTTTGAGATCATGATAATCTTTATATTATTATTAACTCCATGGGGGGTGGTGGGCTCCACTGCCCTTCTGATCAAGTGTGTCCGATGTGTTTTGATGTGGTATTATAATTCATAGATAGCTATGATGATGGATTTGCCCATTTAGGACTAGAAGAAAAGCTATTTATTCCTTTTGATGTTGAATCAAATCCAGCATGGGGTCAGGTCAGGCTGGGTGCTATTTTGAAGATTCATGCTGTCTCCTAACCCTTACCAGAAAGTCTTTGCTCTGATTATGACAACCATTTGGCATGTTGGAGTTAGGCATTTTTGCTTCTTTTTTAAATTGTTTGGTTTCAGTAATTAATCTGTTATTCATTAAGGGCATTTACTTATGCATTTGAGATCCTCGATTCGATGCTCCTTTCCTGGTGTGGCATATAGTTTATGTGCATTGTCCACAGGGAGGGAGGGCCTTAGCATAGCTTATCATGTTGTTTACCTCATGGGATCACTGTGGCAAAAGTACAGGGCAGACAGGACCCACAACCTGTCAACCACCACCAAAGATTATATTATATGGGATTGATATAGTTTACCACCTGAGCTTGGCCTAAACAACTAAAATTTTAAAACAAAAAAAAAAAAAAAAAATAAAGGGCTGGGCTTTGGCTGCTTGCTTGGACACCACAACCTGCTTCTTCTTCTTTTTTTTTCTTTTTTTTTCTTTTTTTTTTCTCAAAACACTGCTCCATAACACCACACTACTACTAATGCCGCTGCCTTTGGAGGCCCACCAACAAGAGGCAGCAGTTTGGTACTTGAGGCCCACCTACCTTTTGTGGGCCCTCTTTGGAGATTCTCTTTTTCTTCATGTTCATCATTTTGAAAAGAAAAGAAAAGAAAATGTGAAATTACAATAAGGATACTATTTGCCTCTTTATCGATAAGGAGATACTTCTCCTTCCTGTTACCTAGAAAATTTGACACATGTGTAAAAATTCATAATAATAAAAAAAAAAAAATAACAATACAATAAAAATTTATTTATTTATAAAAAAAAAAAAAAAAAAAAAAAAAAAAAAAAAAAGACAACATATCACATTGTTATTGGCAAGAATATAAGAGCTCATACTTACCTGATAAGTAGGAAATTATTTTCCTTATAATAATAAGTCATGCTTCTTCTAAATTTTATTTTTAATGCTACATCGGTATACATGTAGGAACTGAAATACTTAGCTCCTTTATTCTAGACTAATCATCGTTGATACGTGTACATAATTTTATTTATTTGTTTGTTTATAATAATAAGATAACTTTGTATGTGTTAAATTGTGATTTAAGGAGGAAAGTAATGCAAAAATTGTTTATTTATAAATTGTTTATTTATGATTTTTTCTTTTATGTCGGTAGATATAAAAGTGTAGAGGATAATTGTTTAGAATAAAGCCAAAATTGTCTTTGATAGATTTTATCTCAAAGAATAGTGAAAAAGAATTTTCGGGTTGCATTATGGTGTTCAATTCTTCATTTGACAAGTGCTTAACAAGACACATCGTCATCAACACCATGTAGAGCATCAAAAATAGAATTATCAGAATTGTTGACAAAATTCCACATTTGGGGTGAAGAAGTTCAACAAAATATGCTTCAATTATTATTATTTTTTTGGGGGATAAAAGAGTATAGTATTGTATTTATAAGATAAACAAAAATAATTACAAAGCAACTAAGGTGCTGAATATGGATATAACTTTTCTAGTGACCAAACGCAACAACAAAACAACAAAACAACAAGTTAAATTGATCTTGAGAGAATACGCACAACCCAAAAAATGATTAAAATTCATGAGTCAGCAACCATCCTCTTAGGAATTATTAGACTAAAACAACTAAAAAACTCCTAAAGAGTTCATAAGAATTATTACACTAAAACAAATTAAAAAACAAGACCGCTGCTCCACATCCTCTTGGGCAATCCGAAGAGACCCACAACGTCATACCGGCTAAACCTATAGTGCCGCATCGACTAAACCCAACCTCAAAGCAACCCGACATCATCCCTGCTTTGTAGCTCCAAATTTATAACCAATGCTGAAAACTAGAGCCAAATTCTTGCATGCATGGGCCAAAAGACGATAACTACATCATACGACAACGTTTCATGGCGACTACTTTTATATCACCAAAAAAAAACAAAAAACAAAGAATCATAGGGAAAAGAAAGGGAATGAGAGAAAAGGGGATGAAATGAGATAGAATTGGAAGGGTGGGGGGTCGGCCTCTAGAGATATTTTTTTAGAGTTTTCTCCTAGAGCAACGATTAGGTTTATCCTCTTTAAGAATTCCTTTTAAAATCTGCTTAAAGATTTGGATAAGCTTGGATTTGGACACAAATAAGTTTCAATTTTTACTCCATTGTTTTTGCGACCCCACAACATAAAAATTTATTTAACAAACTGTCACAAAAGAAGACGAGGAGCTCCCAAGATCAATAATATTGGTGAGCCGGCTGCTCATTGCAACGGGTTACCGGGTGCTTTATTTAGTGGCATCCACCACGCAACGTAACGCCGTTTGTCCCCCAACAACCCATCCTCCTTTGCAACCGTGCAAACTTTAGTGCGGTCCACCCATTTGGCCTCTAATGAATTTGATTGACGGGATAGCCCATATTTGGAAATTAAATTTAAAATATCCAAACTGAAATATTCCTAATGTAAAATCAAACATTACTTTTACACATTCCAATTTTATCTCATAATTTTTAAACAAAGAAGAGTTTAATTATACTTTAGGTGTCATAATTTCCCTTTTTTGCTTGGATTGAAGTCTTTTAATTGAATATTTGACGAAATTCGAGGTCATAATATGTAACTACACATGTGAGTATCATTGGCTCTCAAAATATTTGTAATCAACCTAAAATCTATTAATTTATTCAAATTTTCTTAACAATTTTATATTTATAATAATTAATTACTACAAATATGGTCAAGCTGAGTAGAAAAATGTCTTAACTTGCATATAAAAGGTCTCGAATTCGAATCCCAATGACATCTTAGTTGTCTGCTTGTGTGTGAGAAACTCATTCCTGGTAGTTTAGATTATCGTTTATACTTAAAAATATATATAAATTGATAAAAAAAAATATATCTCAAAAAATGTGACATTGTTTTATTAGTCCAATTTCTCATTTAGTTAGAATAAACTTTCAATTATTTTCTAACTTTAATAAACAATTCTCACTTGTTTTCTAGATGGATTCTTGAAAACGCTTATTTTGGTAGATTGAGATTTTTTTTAATATCATTTGTTTACATTTGACTAAAAAAATTTCTCGATGACGAAATTGAATTTTGGTTTAAAACCCAGTGACAGAAAAAGTATTTAACCCTGTTTTTTAAGTTTGAATTCTTTCGTATATTGTGAGAGAAAAAATTAATCAGTTGCTTTTTTGGGCTAATGATTGTGCTTTCTTTTGGTTGGCGTTGTTTTGTTCCTACCCTCAAAATTTGCAGGAAAATTCAAAAATTCTGAGCAGCCAAACGACAGCAAGCTAGCTGGCTCGTACAAACACAGGATCCCAGAGACAGTTCTCTATCAACCCACACACTCGTTTCAGTTTTCTCAAACTGCCGTTTTTTTCTTTTTCTTTTGTGGGTCTTCGGATTCCGTTGCCGTTTTGAGCCTCTCGATGTCAGCTTTCTCAAAATTCCCTCTCTTTCCCCCGACTTTTCCTTTTCTTTCCGAGCATCCAAACACCAGACCGGCCAAAAACATCTCCCCCCAGCGATTTCCCTATCCTCCTTGAAAACCCGAACACATTTCCGCGTCCCATCCCTTTCTCTATAAAAAGCCACACGCTCACTGATAAATACTAATTTTCTAATTATTAACTGTTTTAAAATTATTATTGGAATAATATTAAATTAAAATGGGAAAACAATAAAACATAGAAAGTTTGCCGGGAACTTTCTGTGACCTGTCGGAGTGGTTGCCCCCAATAAGGTTCATAGAAAATAATAATAATAATAATTTTATTTTTATTTTTGCTACAAAAGCCAAAAGACAAACGCCAAACCCAAACGGTTCCACTTTTTATTATTTGCAAGCTGTCTATTTAATTTAATTTAATATTCGCACATTTTCCTTGCTTTTTTATATTCATTTTCTGAGTTACAGAGTTCACAGTACAGACTACTGAGCGTACTGAGACTGAGAGGGAGAGAAGGGGGAGAGATAGAGAGAGAGAGAGAGAGAGAGAGGGAGTGTCTGTATTATATAGAAACAAAAGAGAGCAGCAGAAGACCAAAGAAGCTTCTCTTTCATCTTCTTCAACAACACCATATCCTTTAAATAAATTTAAACCCATATAATCTGAAACAATTTAAGCTCTTGATCTTGATCTTTTTCTTCTTTTAAATCCATTTAATGCTTTCTTCTGGGTCTTGGACTCTTGAAGTATTTTCATGTCTATGTCACTGGAGCATGATTACATAGGCTTATCAGAGTCTGCTTCTTCAATGGAAAGCTCTGACAAGTCTGCTGAGAGGGACAGAGGGACTGCTCTGAACCTCAAAGCCACTGAGCTGAGGCTGGGCTTGCCAGGCTCTGAGTCCCCAGAGAGGGATGGTGGTGGTGGGTTAGTGGAGGATAAGACTGGGTACTCAGTATGTGTGGTTAAAGGCTTGGTCTCTGGGGCCAAGAGGGGCTTCTCTGACGCCATTGATGGAGCTTCCGGGAAGTGGATTTTCTCTGGGAGTGGTGGATCTGAGGTTGATATGGGTAAAGGTGGTAACTTGCTCTCTCCCAGAGGTGTTAATGGTGGGAAAGCTCTTGCTGGGTCTGACTCTAACAACCAACCAACAAGTTTAGCTGTCTCAGCCGTGAAAGATGGTGCACAACAGTCTCCAAAGCCATTGCATGAGAAGAAGCCCCAGGTTTCTGCTTCTGCAGCAAAGTAATTAGCTTTCTTTCACTTTCCTTTTCCTTTTCCTTTGTTCTTTAGAGAATTGTGTATGTAGAAAGATGATTATTTTGGCTGCAGAATTGTGGTATTACTTCTATTTGTTCCATTCATTAATTTTTTGCTGGGTTCTTAATTTTTGTTCATATTATCTTTTAGTTTGTCTTCTTTTTGTTACTAAAGAAGCCTCCAGTCCAGTGGGTTAATTAGACAAAATTGTGCAGGTCTTCTTTGTCCCTTTACGTTAAATTAAACAATTCTATATTTTTTCATGCTCTTTATTTTGCAGAATGGTTGTTACATCTCTCATATTTCATATATTTCTTTCCAAATGTCCATTTTTTTTTTTTGGACGAATTCCAAATGTCCAGTTTGTGAGAATAATTTCAATTATTTCCATGTTTGCAAGTACGGCAAAAGATTTTGTGTCAAGGTCTCAGCTCTTCCTCTCCACCCTTTCCTTGCATGTATATTTCCAATTTTGTCTCAAAACAGTTTAAGAATTTTTCAGATGTACAAGCCAGGTGTTAGCTAGGTTTCATTATTTTGAAATTACTACTTTCTGGACTTCCTCCACACGAAATTGTAACATTATGTACGTTATACAGCCATAGATTCCATTGGTAAGAAGTTATAATGGCTCTTAGTTAAGATATTCATAGTAAAATCTAATTTGTTTTGTGTCATGTGTGTGTGACAGGGCACAGGTTGTAGGATGGCCACCAATTCGTTCTTTCAGGAAGAATTCAATGGCTTCCGTTCCTCCAAAAAATGATGATGATGCAGAAGGCAAGATGGGACCAGGGTGTCTTTACGTTAAAGTCAGCATGGATGGTGCACCATACCTGAGGAAAGTCGATCTCAAAACATATGGCAGCTATGTGGAGTTATCTTTGGCTCTGGAAAAGATGTTTAGCTGCTTTACAATTGGTAATTTCTCTTTTTAACTCATATTATTTGTTCTAGTTCACCACACCCGCCAATGATTGTCCTCTATTTTTTTTCCGCTTCTGTCAGTAGTTTTTTGCAATTGGATAATTGTAAAAAAACTAAATATCAGAGTTCGAGAAAGATTAAAAAAATTTTGCCTGAACAAAAAAGTTGTTTAATTGGATTCTCAGAACTGGAAATGAATGAAAATAATTGAGGAATGTCTGCATGTCTCTTAGTATAAGTATATTAGGGATTCATGGAAGGTGATGCACGTCTTTCAATTCCAAAAAAAGCCAATGCGTACAAAAACTCAATTGGTTTATCTCACAAGACTCATATTATATGTCTTGTGAGACAAACTCAATTGGCTCTTGGTGGATTTATCTACATCCTCTCTGCTGCTTTGCTGCACTCAGGATTGTTGACAATGCTGGCAGCATCATTTGTTTTGAAGAAATTCTTAGTTTCCCTTTTTAATATAAACTTGTTCAGGTCAATGTGGCTCACATGGAGTTTCAAGAGATGGACTGAGCGAGAGCCGGTTAATGGATCTCCTAAATGGTGCTGAATATGTCCTCACCTACGAAGATAAGGATGGAGATTGGATGCTAGTTGGTGATGTTCCGTGGGAGTAAGTGTGACTTCTTGACACAATATGTACATTATATGTGGTCATTTTTCAAGAGAGACATTAGGTTGTATAGATTCAGTAATACTCGAACTATTCCTTGTTATCCTACTCCTTAAAAATAGATTTTCAAAGGAGGTTTTTCCATCTAAGAGAATTGTTATTGTTGCACTTTAGTTTAGTAAACAGCAATGATCAGAATGTGGAGTACAGACAGTCTGGCATTGCCAACACCCCTAGGGACACATGTTAATAGCTTTGTCAGAGGTTCTGTGAAAATCTATACAGGAGTTCTAGATATCCATTTTGCCAAATCAAAACCAACAAATAATGAGTATTGCGTCTAAGTTTCGTGGCTGTTTGTTCTTGCAGAATGTTCACTGACACATGCAAGAGGATGAGGATCATGAAGAGTTCAGAGGCCATAGGGCTAGGTATCTTCTGTTGTGTGACAATGATCATATTGTGTGTGTATAAATATAGGCTTTTGTTTGCTAAATGATATCCTTAACTAACAACATCCTTGTGTTTTCCTATCTGTTTGTTATAGCTCCGAGGGCCGTGCAGAAGTGCAAAAAAAGTAATTAGAGGCATCATCACCATGAATGGATCAAATACTCAAATGATGTTGGAGGCCGCTGTTATGATCAAGGCGAAAGCACCGAATGGTTCGCAAAATTGGGCCCTCGCCCTCTGTTCATATCAACTTATGCTTCACATTTAGTGTAACAAAATATGACATTCTAGTAGGAAATATGGTACTGTAAAATGGTCTAGTTTAATTAGCTCTCCTCCCCCCCATTGTATTCTGATAGTTGGCTGCTTAAAGCCAATGCATTATGTATCGTAATGGTTTGTTGGCCATGGCAATTCTGTGTGGACCATGATCTCCATAAAAGGAATTAATTGTAGTGTTGAAATAATAGTGTGGTTTGCTTAGAACTGTACACCGGGTTGATGTGAGAGGTGGAACCAAAAAGAGAGAAAAAACACAAGCAAATCTTTGAAATTTTGAAGCCTTTATTGCAAGACCTAGAAAACAAGAAAGGTTGGCTATATAGCTCTTCTTTTTCACAACCTAAATAACAACCAAAGATTGAAACGGGCCTAAAAAAAGTGTTGTTCATGGGCCATGTCCAATTCTTTTTTTAAATGATGCATTTATGTACCACCCAACAATATTTTACAATTATATTACAAGTATTTATTCACGTTTTTTCACAACAATATTTTTTCACTTTTTTTGTGCAATTAATAAAAAATATTTATTGAGCTAAATAATTACGAAAATTAAAGACAAGAATGGAGGGAGTGTAAAACTTAAGCAGAAAAATAAGAAGGAAAAAAACTTAATAATTTTATTGGAAAATATTAGAAATTAGGGTTTATAGGAAGACAGAAAGAAAAAAAGTAGGGGAACGAACTTTTGGAAGGTGAATCTTTGGTTCTCCTCTGTGTTTCGTCGAAGGATTCCACAAAGCGAAAGATGAAGCTGAAGCAGTTAGAAGGCCTCCTTGGTGGCCTCCAACAGTTCTCCAACCCAAAGGTCTCTCTCTCTCTCTCTCTCTCTCTCTCTCTCTCAAACGCGTACACACAGACTGATGGATGAATGGATATTCATTGATGCAGGTGGAGCTGGAACAATACCCAACTGGACCCCACATTGCTTCTCGCATGCTCTACACTGTATTGCTCTGCTCTCTACTCCCTCATTTTTCTCTAAAAGTTCATAGTGTAAATTAACTAGCTCGTTCTTTCTTCTCGAAGTCTTTGCCTTTTGCTTAAATCTACTTGGTCTTCTGCAAAATACTTGACTTTGAGCTTTATTTCTAACACGGGTTTTGATTGATTAGGCGGAGAACTCATTCGGGGATGTGACTGACAAGGTAGTGGCTGATTTTGGGTGTGGTTGTGGTACATTGGGTGTTGCAGCTGCACTCTTGGATGCAGAGTGAGTTACATCTTCCCCTTGCTTTTGTTTCTGTCCCTCGCAAATTTAATTGGTACTTGAGTTTCAGTTGAAATTAGAACTATTTCTCATAATTCAACTTAATAAAATATTGAAGGGCATTTATTACTGCTAAAGTTTATGAGTTTTGTATGAATACTTCTTCATTTTAGTAGTTGGTTAAACATTTTCTTGCTTTGGTCAGACGTGTGATTGGCATTGACATTGATTCTCAATCTCTTGAATTAGCATCACTAAATGCAGAGGAGCTTGAGGTACATCACTTCTTTGATTTTGACGATAGTAATGTTTATAATTCTCTATGGCTTGCTATGCTTATACTTTTTATTTAGTACCATGGTTCGGGCCAGTAGTTATATATTTGTATTCCGTAGAAGTAGGCATTTCAAGGTTGAAAAACACTCCAGCCATTTGCTCACTGTACACCCCCTCCTTTCCCGTTACTTTCACTTTTGAATCATTCTGGGTGCTGGTCAACTAATGCATTGTTCTGTTGGTAATCCTGCAGTTGGACATGGATTATATTCAGTGTGACATTAAGAACTTAGGATTGAGAGGTATGAGAACCCCTCTTCAGAGGTCTTGTTTATGTGTGTATTAATAGAAACTATTTATGCATACACATAATTTAGTTGATAAATTTGGTTTAATTTTTTTAGCAAGCTCTACAGAAATGGATTTTCATCCTCCAGAGTGTCTTCATGTTCTGTTTCTGTCCTTTTCTCCTTCAAATGTTTGTATATTTATGATTGCTGTATATCTCAAAGTGGCCATTTGTTATCCTTCGTTTGGAGTTTCATGTTTCAGCTTGACGGCAGATTGTATCCTGACTATGTTTTTGTTGAATTTATTGTCCGTTGGAAACCTTGTGTATTGGCTAGAGATATCATTTAGTTATAGAAATTGGGGAACTTTGTGGTTTCTGTGTTGCATAGGTCGACTTTGTGTTGCTGGAATCATGTATTCCGTGGGCTTCAGTAATTAAAATTTGTTGCTTCTCTTACAATTTCTTGTATTTTAGGTTAATTGATTTTAGATGTTTATTTATTATCTAATGTGCTGGACAGCTATTTTATTTGTTGGAGAGTCCCTACATTTCTCCTTATAGTTTCTGTTGTCATCTGAGGCTGTGAATAATATAATACTGTTTATATGTAATTTGATGTTGCAATGATGATCTAAGAAACAAATATGATTCCTAAAAGTACATAATTTCAGCAGGCGTATGCTTTCAAATTCTATCTTCACCTAATGGTCTTGATCCTAAATTCAGCTGAAGTTGTTGATACTGTTGTAATGAATCCTCCATTTGGAACTCGGAAAAAAGGTGCTGACATGGATTTTCTCTCTGTGGCTTTGAAGGTAAGTGCAGGGACTGATCTCTGGTTAAGTTGAATCTCTTCTATCTCGTTTCTTCTAATATAATTGTTTCCTCATATTATTATTATTATTATTATTTCAGATTGCTTCTCAAGCAGTTTATTCCTTGCACAAGACTTGCACAAGAGATGTAAGTCATTTGCTACAAAAGTTCTTGCCATTTAGAAGGAAACTGGTCAAGGCACTTCCACACGCCTTGCTTTGACATTCAATTATAATTTACTTTCTGGTTACTATCCTCTCAACACCGGTCCTCACCATTTGTTTAGAGGGTACTTTTTTTTAACTGACTGCATAATGAGATCACTCCCCTTTTGGTCATTGCAGCATGTGAAAAGGGCAGCCTTGCAGCACAATGCCAGCAGTGCTGAAGTTATATGTGAGGTGGGTAAAGATAGCTTTCTTCAAATCGTCGTTGTGATTCCTATAACATCAGCGCTATTATATATGTTTGATGTGATGAGTGTGAGCATGCTTTAGCTTTAGTTGTTGACATGATATTAAAGTTAATCTTGTTGACTCCTTTTTCCGTCAGCTTCGATATGATGTACCACAACTGTACAAATTTCACAAGAAAAGGGAGGTGGATATTGCTGTAGACTTGTGGCGATTTGTTCCCAAGAGTATCTAGCTCCACATTAAGCTCATGTTTGGTGTAAATTTTTTTTTTTCTTTTGGCGCAAAGATCATGTATTTGTGTAGTATAGGTGAACAAATATACATGTAAAAGTTGATGTAGGAATTTGTTCTGCTTTTCATATGAGTTGGATTGAAAATCGATCTGAAATTTTGTTAATTTCTTTTCATCATATCCAAAATGTCATTCTTCTTAAAATGGGATCAAAATACAAATTTATTATGCGAATGTGAAAGTTCTTTTATTTCTGTTTCTATCTCTAATTTGTGTTCTATTAATTTGCCAAGATAGTTCACGCCAAAACTACTTGTATAAACGACGACGTTGGGGCAGCTTTTTGGAGGGTCTGAAGGGTGGGAGTGTCCCGAGTCCAGAGTTTGCGATGATTCCGGGTCGGGTGTGGATGCTCCAGCTCTTTGCTAGTGGAGAGAGAGTCCAGCGAAGGAGTATAGCCGCACGGCTTAAAAGTATAAAATTGGTTTCTTTACTTTTGTTTTTTGGCCAACTTCTTTAATTTAATATATGTAATTATATCTTAGTATTTTTTTAATTACTTTAATTAGTAATTATTTTTTTAGTGAATATTTAAATATTTTACTGATTTCATAAATGACTTAATAATTAATAATTAATTATTTATACGAAATTAATTTGAATCTAAGTCTCGAACCAAAAACTCTAGCTTCTGAACTTGTTTCAAAATATTTCTCAAGCCTCGAACCCAACCATAAGCCTACTATGGGGCACTTATGACTCGATTAAGCTTGGATACTCACGTAACTCCACCTAGGGTTTTATGATTAAGGTTTCGATCTCAATATGCGGTTAGTACGACATAACTGGACCTAACAATATACTTGAGTGTGCCTCGAGGTAGACTTTAACAAGTTGTAGTTTAGCCGAGCGGCTATACTCTATAATTTTTTTTTAAAATTAATTACTATTTAACAAGTAATATAATTTATGAAGTTATTTGAAATATTTAATACTAATTAAAACATAATTACTAATAAAAGTAATTAAATAAGGCTAAGATATTATTTAATTACTAAAAACAAAATATAAAATAAAAATTTGACTTAAAGATACTAAGTTTAAATATATATTTTAAAAAACCTCTCCCGACGAAATTCCTTCAGCACAAACATATCTCGGCGAAATTTGCCTGAAATCTCTCATGACGAAATTTCATCAGCACAAGTTCATCTCGTCTGGAGAGGTCTATCAGGCAAATATTTGCCGGCATAGAATTCTGCTGACCAAATTTTGTCAGGACAGGTTTTCTTGATTTTATTTTAAATATATAAAATTAGCTTCCTTGCTATATTCTATAAATAGAAATTTTAACATTATAGCCGCACATAAATAGAAATTGTAGACGTATAGCTGTGCGCGATACCTTTTAAATGGAATATTTTACACGTATAGCCGTGCGGCTGTACCCTTTAAATAGAATAGTTTAACAGTATAGACGGCTATACGCTTTGAAAAGAATAACTTAATAGTACAGCCGAACGGCTATACCTTATAAATAGAAATTTTAAAAGTATAGCCAGGCGGCTATACGCTTTAAATGGAATAGTTGTGCAGCCGCACGTCTTTACTATTTAAATAGAATATTTTACGAGTATTGGCCCCAAGGTCGTTTGTCTTATTCTAAACTATTGGCAAATTGCCAATTGGTCCTTTTGCAGTTTAAGACTGAGAATTGGTCTGAAAACAAATATTTTTTCCTTTTCTTTTTTCATCATATAATTATATCCAAAATCTTAAATTCTTTATAAAATCGGATCAGGAAGAAAAAAATATATTTCTGGGAGTGCCAAAATTTTCTAATTTTTGTTCTGAATTAATTGAAGAAGCAATCTGACAGTGTTGAACCATGTTTTTATATAAATATTATTATACACTATTTCCAAAAATGCCTCAACAGAATTGTATTTCCATCAATGGTGCAACAAAGAACAAAAAAACATATCAGAGATGGTTGATGCTCCCTTCTCTCTCGCAATATAGATGACAAAAACAGTACCTTTGACGGCCATGTAAAGCAAAGCATGATCAGCCCTAGCTTCAGATACATACTAAAACCAAAACAAAAAAGAATCATATTACTTCCATCTAAAAGTTGTTTTACCCATTCTTACTATCCTTTAGCTCTTGCCTCACCATGAATAAACAGACCCCATCGTCGCCGATCGATGCTTCCATGCTAACTTGAAGTTTCTTCTTTGTCTCAAGCTTCGGCTGCTGCTTCTGCTTTTGCGTCCTCAACTGTCTCCCCAAGAGTGAACCGAACAAACCTTCGAACTTTAATATTCTCCCCAAGAGCAGCAACAGTCTGCTTCACTAGGTCCTTCACCAGAAGACTATCATCTTTGATGAAAGGTTGCTCTAAAAGAGCAAGCTCCCCAAGCCTCTTTGAGATCCTCCCCTCCACAATTCTCTCTCTAATGTTCTCAGGCTTTGACAGAAGGTCCTCCCTCTGCCTCTCAAGCTCTTTTTCCTTGGTTACAATGCTCTCTGGAATATCTTCAATGGACACAAATTGCACCTGCGGGCAGGCCACAACTTGCATTGCCAGATCATCAACCAACTCCTTGAATTTTTCACTTCTACCAACAAAGTCAGTCTCGCAGTTCACTTCAATTAGAACTCCAATGCGGGAGTCATGAATGTAGGACCCGATCCTGCCTTCAGCAGCAAGCCTGCTGGATTTCTTTTCAGCAGAAGAGAGACCCTTCTTCCTCAGGTACTCTTGTGCCTTCTCAAGGTCGCCTCCAGTTTCAGAGAGAGCTTTCTTGCAGTCCATCATCCCCGCTCCAGTTTCTTCACGTAGTTGTTTAACCAAAGCGGCAGAGACAGCTACAGTAGGTGCCCTGCAATATGGTGCTGAATGTAGGTCAACGACATTCACAAGATAAAGATTGGCAGCAAGAAGCACACATGTCAAAACCAAGGCCGAGCAACTCAAGTAGACAAAAAAGTTTATATAAGGCACTACTGAGTGTTGAACTCCTGTTTTTCATCACAGAAACTGAGTCCAAAAAAAAAATCCAAAACAATATATTGATGACCCAGTATTACAGAGCTCTGATATAAAAGCTAGACAGGATTTGTGACAAGCAATTACTTACTTCTCAACAGTTTCCTTGGCTTCCACTGCAGCAGGCTGCTCTTTTCCTCCTGTGGGCGGCGGTTTTGCCGCAGTTTGGGCAGCCACCTCGGCAGCAAAATCCTGACTCTTCTTCTCCAAGCCTTCTCCAAGATTGTACCGCACAAACCTTTTCACTTTTATGTTTTCTCCAATAGTTGCAATGGTTTGCTTCACCAAGTCTTTCACCACCACCTTATCATTCTTAATGTAGGGCTGCTCAAGCAATGCCAGCTCCTCAAGCCTCTTCCTGATCCTCCCATCAACAATCTTTGATCTAATCTGCTCTGGCTTTGACAAAAGATCTTCTTTCTGCATCTCAATTTCTCTTTCCTTGTTGACAAACTCTTCAGGAACATCTTCTGTAGCAAGGTAGTGTACTTGCGGGCATGCAGCCACTTGCATGGCTAGATCATCAACCAGCTCCTTGAAAATGTCACCCCGGGAAACAAAATCTGTCTCACAGTTTACCTCTAGCAAGATACCAATCCTGCTATCATGAATGTATGAACCTATTCTTCCTTCAGCAGTTGCTCTGCTGGCTTTCTTGTCTGCACTTGCTAAGCCTTTCTTTCTAAGGAACTCCTGAGCTTTAACAATATCCCCACCAGTCTCCGACAAAGCATTTTTGCAATCCATCATTCCGGCACCTGTTTCTTCACGCAGCTGCTTTACAAGAGCTGGTGATATAGGTTCTGTAATCCATATATACAAACATACATTAGAGGCAGATACAACTTAATACGAGAAGATCACTATTCCAATGTGAATTGACTAATCAATCAATTAACAGAAAACGTTAAAAAAATTTAAGATAGGATCCAATGAGGATTTTTTCCATCCTCACTAGCCCAGCAGAAACATGATTCAGCATCAGATAAAGCATTGTGGTGAACAGTGAAATACGTGCAATCCTTTTAAAAATCAATAAATTTTTAGGAAGCAGCAGTAGCACAATACAGCAATTCTTTGTAGCATGAAACTCCATACCACATGTGGTGTGTGTGTGTGTTGCTTGGTAGGTGAATAGATAATATTCATAACATTCAACACAACACAACACAACACATCAATTCTATTCTTCTTAGTATTGAATCTAGATCCTCATAGTGTTTAATGATTTAAATTTCATCTTGAAAGAATTAAAAATTCTTGGGCCACTTTTTTATATAAAATCCATGAACAACATGCCCATCAGTTTTCAAGTCATCACTATTCATTTGTTTACCTGGCTTAATGCAAAAAAAAAATAAAATGAAATGCATTAAAATGAGGAAGATGAGCAGGCAAAACAACCTTTAGTCACACTTTCCTTCGGGGAAGGATTGTCAGTTTCTCCATTTGAATTAGAAACACCACCATTCCTCTCAGGGGTACTTCCCACCTTGTCATCTTCCACTTGTGAGATAGAAGGCAATTCACCCTCAGCAGCGGGTGTTTGTATCTGCACTTCCTCCCTAATGTTTTCAGGTACATCATCTACAGCTTTGGTGGCCTGACTTTCTGACAAAAGGACATGATCATTAGCTAAATCTTCAGATGGAACAGAACTTCCATCACTTGAAAGAAATAGGATCAGTGTTTCATCATATAGATAGAAATGAGGCAAAATTTCAGCAGATAATAATTGGGGATTTTGTCTTTGGTCACAAAATTGCATATTATTCTGCAGAAATTAGACATCTTATGTTTGTTGTAACCATCTTGGACTTGGAGCAACTTTTGGAATTTCCTCAAATGCAATATACAGAAAACACTTAAATAGAAAACCAAGTTATGAATCTTAGACTTGGAGCAGCTTTTGGAATTTCATCGAATGCAATATAGAGACAACACCTAA